ACATTTTGCTTACTGGATGTCTCCGTCAAATTTCTCGCCATCCGATTCCCGGTTTGTTCTGTGTCGTCATCGTGCAGGGCAAGACGGCGGACCCAGGCTTCATCGTGCACTGGACGTTTCCGCCAGGACTCAAGAAAGAGTCCATTTGGCTGGCCTACTACGTCAGCCTGTCGCGGCCCAGGAGCTTCGGCCAGCTCTTGAGCCACGGCTTGCCTGACCGGAGCATCATCGAATCCGGCCCCCTGGAACGGATCGCCAAGGCCTTCGCCGAGCTCTTCACGGACAAGATTGCCGCGACGAAGATCGCTTGCGCGAAAGCCCGACAAGAGCTAGGCTGGCCTGCACGAGCTTGAGGAACTGTGAGACACAGGCTGCTTTGTGGCGGTGCTGCTCAGCCTGCCCGCTTGGTGCTTCTCAGCCTGCACTCGCGTGCTGCTTCTCGGCCTGCGCTCGTGTGTACCCGTGCGTCGTGAGATACGGGGCTCCTCCGTCTGCATCCTAGATGCAGTGGTGCTGCTGTGCCAGCGATGGTACACACCAGCGCTTTAGGGAGAGCGTGCCGAGCGTTGCAAACACATCGTTTGAGACTCAATCGGTTGATAGCAGTGTCTCGTTTGGACCTACATCCATTATAGCAGTGTCTCGCTTCGACCTGAATACGTTGAAATCCATTTTGGAGCTAAAAACCATTGATGCAAATGTGTCGTTTGAGACTCCGTCCGTTGATAGCAGTGTCTCGTTTGGGCCTACATCCATTGATAGCAGTGTCTCGTTTCGACCTGAACACATTGAAATCCATGTTGGGGTTAAAAACCATTGATGCAAATGTATCGTTTGAGACTCAGTCGGTTGATAGCAGTGTCTCGTTTGGACCTACATCCATTGATAGCAGTGTCTCGCTTCAAGCCGAATACATTGAAATCCGTTTTGGGGCTAAAGACCACTGATGCAAATGTATCGTGTGAGACTCAATCGGTTGATAGCAGTGTCTCGTTTGGACCTACATCCATTGATCGCAGTGTCTCGCTTCGACTTCAATGCATAGATACAAACATCTCATTTGGAGATGCAGTTATCGAAAGCCGTGGGTCGTTCGAAAGTACACCCATTGATAACAGTGTCTCGTTCGAAGATGGGCTGATTGATAGCAGTGTCTCGTTTGTACTACTCTTGCTACTAGTGTTTCTACTGCTACTACCATTGCTCCCATTACTCCTACTCGTTCACTCCACCCACTACAACTACTACTTCACTGTTACCGCTACTACCATCACTACTACTTCTACTGCTATTACTACTGTTACTATTACTGCTGCTGCTGTTGCTGCTGCTAGTGTAGCTCTTGCTACTGCAACTACTGGCAGTGCCACTGCGACTGCGACTGCGACTGATGTTGCCACTGCGACTGCCGCTGCGAATCCGAATGCGACTGCGAGAACACCTGAATTCTACAACAGCACTCTTACATGAATACCAAAGGCAATGTTTCCAGCTATGCTTCTACACATCGCTGTTAGGTTGCTTTGCCGGGATAATTTTGACAGAGTCGTGCTGTTCAAGCCCGGGACAGTTCGCGGGGGTCAACAGGCGAACAGTTCGAGTGGTTCGACCAAGGTCCTTACGCGACGCTTGCGGATGACCGACCAGGGGGACTGGGCAGGGCTTTGGCGCGAGCCCACCACGATCGGCAGCCGCGGGCCGAGGAGAGGCGTAGGAGGACGAGGAGGCAACGCCCCAACGGCCAAGCATGACGCGCGGGCGGTCGAGTCCATACTGGATGAGCACCTCAGCAGTAAGGCGATGCAGCGAGCGTTCAGCCTCGGCGCGCTAGCCTCTGGGCCCGGCGTCCACGCCGGCCTCCAGAGCCTCTTCCCAGAGGGGCCAGAGCAACGCCTCCTCCAAGCGCCAGCCGCGCCAGACGACGACGTTCGCGCAGCACTGGCCGTGGCCGTGGCCGAAGGCTTGGCGAAGAGCCCGCGGCGCTCTGGCCTGGGGCCGAACGGCAGCAGGTTTGAGCGCTGGCGCGCGCTGCTGGCCGACGCCCCCGCCCTCGAGGCGGTCGCGAGGGTCGCAGTCGCCTTCCTGCTCGGCGAGCTCAGCCCGGAGGCGACGCGCGCCAACCTGGGCGCCCGATTCCTGGCCGAGCGCAAGCGCAACGGCACGCTCGGGCCGATCGCTTGCGGCCCCGTGCTCCGCCGACCTGCCGCGCGGGCCGCCTGCGATGTCCACGACGACGACATGCAGGGACCAGTCGGCCTTCACTAGTGCGCCGTCGGACGGCAAGCGGGGTGCGAGCCAGTGCAGAAATGCCTCACTGCCCTCTCAGAGGCACGCCCCCTCGGCGTCGCGCTGGCCTTCGACTGCTCCAACGCCTTCAACAGCATCCCGCATGGCATGTTGATCGACAGCGCGGCGGAGGGCGCCCATTTGTTCCAGAGCACCCATCGCTGGCTCGTGGGAACCACCCTGCACTACTGGTGGAACGACCTGACCGACGGCACCCACAGCGTCTGGGCCAGCAGGGGCGTGGATCAGGGGTGCCCGACTCTCCCCGGCGCTCTTCGCTATTGGCATTGCAGACGCGCTCGACGATATCTACTCGCGTCTTCAGGCGCTCTCGCCTGTTTGCCGGGTGTTCAGCTGCCTCGACGACATCGTGCTCTTCGCCACCCTAGAGTACGCAGACGCAGCCATGCAGTTTGCCATTGACATCCTTACATGGCGCGGTCTTGCAGTCAACCAGACCAAGACCCAAGCGTGGTCCGCTGGAGGGCGCGGCCACTTGCCGGCCAACGTTCAGGAGTGCTGGGTGGACCACCTCACGCGCCTGGGAAGCACTGCCCCATGGCTTGATCGGGGAAGGAGAGGAGAGGACGAGGAGGGAGAAAGGGTGACCGACCACGCCGGCCTTGGCGGGATCGTTGCCGTGGCCAAGGCAGCGGCGTTTGCCGCCCGCCTGTAAGAGCTGCGGCAGGCGGGCCTCCGGCGTTTAAGCTCCTGCAGACGTTCGCCCGCGGATGCGTCGCGCGCCACGTCCGCGCCAACCTGCAAGGGGACTGGGCGGAGCAGCTGGACCGAGTCCTCTTCGGCTCCCTCGAGTAGCTAGCCGGCGGACCCTTGGACGCCCCGCAGCGTCTTCTCCAAGCCGCGCTGCGCCTCGCTGGCGGCGGCTGCGCTTTTATTTCGGCTGCCCTGACGGCGCCCGCCGCGTGCGCCGCCAGCTGGGCCCTCCTGCTCCACGACGTCATGAGGTGCCTCGGGGCCAACTCGCTTGAAGATTCCTGGGTACGCTGCCCGAGGGCGCAGAGGACGCTCGACCAGGCAGAGGCGACGCTTCAAGCTGCTGGCGTTCTGCAGGCGCCCTTTGAGTGGATCAAATGCACTGCAAACCCGCAACCGAAGCTTCAGGGGCACTGGGCCAAAGCTGCTTCCGCGGCCAACCGGGCGAAATTTCTGCAGACTTTCGACGAGGACCGGCGCCTCCGCTTGCGCGAGAACGGGGGCGCCGGAGCAGGCGGCTTGCTCCTCCCGCGCCAGCCGGGCGACCCCCGCCAGCCAGATGGGCACTTCTGCGGCGACCTCAAGCGGCGGCTCTGCGTGACGGTCTGCCCGCCTGGCTCCCGCTGCCAGCGCCGCCGCGAGGATGGAAGTTTCTGCAGCGAGGCCCTCGACCCGCGCGGCTGGCGCGCAGTGAAGTGCGAGGTGGACGCGTCGCGCAACCAGCGCCGCAACAATTGTCGCGACTGGCGCTCGGCGAAGCGCAAGGAGCTCACAGGCTTCGCGGCGCCCGCGTAGCAGGCCGTCCTTGCCTGGGATCGCCGCCGCCCCCGCGCTGGGGTGCTGCAGCATGCCGTCCTCGACCTCTCCACCAACGACCCGGCCAATGGGCGCCGCGTCTACGTCGATAGGGCAACCACCTGCGTACACTCAACCTACGCTCCGCGCAGGGGTGCCTGGGCAGACAGAGACGGTTTGGCGGCCGTCCAGATGGTGGAATAGAAGAGGGAGCGGTGCCCCCTCCTGGGGGCGAGCTGACCCCCCTCGTCTTCGAGACAGGGCCGGCCCAGCGACGAAGCCGCCGGCTTCGTCCGCAGCTACGGAACCGACCTAGACGACGGCGAGCGCTCCGAGCTGCTGGGCAGCCTCTGGCGGCAGATCAGCAAAACCCTCCAAAGGGGTGGTGCTGGAATGCTGCTGAGCGCACTCGGGCGTTGGGCGAGCAGCCCCCCGCCTCCGCTTGGTCCACCGCAATCGCCGCCGGCGCAGTGGCCGCCACAAGCGGCCGAGACCACAGCCACGAACCCAGACCACCACGACCGCCAACAGCACGAAACAACCATTGCCGTCACCGCCACCGCGACGACGACTCTGAACACGACGACCCTCGCGACCCCCGACGCCGCGACCACGACCAGCGCCGGCACATTCACCACCGCGACCGCCGCCGATCAGCATTGCGACCACGACCACGGCCAGCGCGACGGTGCCATGATCACCACCGCTGCCACTATCACCACCGATTCAGTCGCCCCAGCACCCGGCCGCCCCTTTCCTTTCTCTCCCTGCCCCTGCTGGGCCGCCCTTGCTTCCTCCTCGCCTCCTCTTCCTTCTCCTCCTGATTAGTAGTCAATGAGTAATTCATGTGGGGCCCGTCGCCAAAGGCGGCGGTGTCCCTGGCGCGAGGGTGCGATCGGATCGACCATTCCCTCCGCCCCGGGGGTCCCGCTCGCGGGTGCCAGTCCTTTATGGGAGCTCTCGGGGTCGTGGCGGGGGGAGAGAAAGAGAGAGAGAGAGAGAGAGAAAGAGAGAGAGAGAGAGAGAGAGAGAGTGAGAGAGAGAGAGAGAGAGCGAGAGAATGAGCGAGAGAGAGAGAGAGAGAGAGAGAGGGAGAGAGAGAAAGAGAAACGATTACGATGGAGAGGGAGAGAAAGAGAGGGAAAGGCATAACGACGTGGCAGTGCCCACAGACCCCTTGCGAAACACATCCTTCCGCCTGCCAGGTCTGCCCCCGTTGTGGCATGCAGCTTACCGCCTTGCCGACTTCCGCGAGATCATCACCCATGCCAGTCCTCGCCAGCACGGACACCTCAAAGAGAGGAAGTTCTTTCGGTGTTGGAGTCAGGACCGATGGTGGATGCAGACCAGAGGGGAGGTACAAGAGAGGGGATGGGCTGGGCTGGTAGGGGGGAAAAAGTGGGGGAGTAGGAGGAAGAGGAAGAGACATAATCTACTGATGATGAGGTGGTGGTTGTGGTGGAGGAGGATTAGGAGGAGGAGGAGGAGGCGGAGGGGAGGAGTTGGACGCAACGCGAGTGAGGCACAGAAGCCTGCCACTTATTCCATCCCTCGTGTTTGTTTGTGGGTGGTTTGGTCCTTTCCCGTCTTGGCGGCCCGCTGTGAGGTCCACCGCTTGTTGTCGCCCAGTGGAGGAGTATACGCAGGGTGTGGACTGCAAGCGGGCGGAGAAGAGGGTGCTGTGGGGCGAGCGACCCGTTCCCCAGTTGAATGACTCGTCCCCCGGTTGTTCGTTTCGTTCCCCGGCGGAAGTAACACCAACTTGAAAGAACTCTTTCCCTGGCGGAGCTCATAATTGAAACCGTTTTGTTAAGATGTCGGAGCAAGCATAAACACGAGTTCGCCCCTGACACGTGGCCACTTACGTTGCCGCCGAAACAACATGAATCCGACTGGGGAACGAGTTCGTCAGAAATGTTGTTGTGCTGGTATGTGCGTGGCAACGGCTTTGCTCTTCTCAATGCTGGAGAACCTGCGCTTCTGAATCGTCGAAAACTGTTGCGCACGATGGACCCATCGCGGGGAGGAGGATGAGGATGAGGAGGAGGAGGAGGAGGAGGAGGAGGAGGAGGAAGAGGAGGAAGAGGAGGAGGAGGAGGAGGAGGGAGGAGGAGGAGGAAGAGGGGGAAGAGGTGGAGGAGGAGGAGGAGGCGGAGGAGGAGGAGATGTGGACGACAAAAAGTGAGGAAGAGGGGCGGAGGAGGAGGAAATGTAGGAGGAGGAGGAAAAAGAAAGATGATCGAGGAGGAGGAGGGTAGGAGGAGGAGAGGAGAGGAGGAGGAGGGGAGGAGGAGGAGGAGGAGAGAGGAGGAGGAGGAGGAGGAGGAGGAGGATAGGATGATGATGCTGATGATGATGAGGAGGAGGAGGAGGAGGAGGAGAGGAGGAAGAGGAGGAGGGGAAGAGGTGGAGGAGGCGGAGGAGGCGGAGGAGGAGGGGGAACATCATGAGGACCAAGAGCAAGAGGAACAGGAGGTGGATGGGCTGAAGGAAGAACAGCCGGAAATCCGGGGGAGGAACGGGATGGGGAGGAAGAGCTTGAAGAGGAGAGGGACGGCGAGGACGATGAGGGGAAACAAAAATGAGGAGGAGGAGGAGGAGGAGGAGGAGGAGGAGGAGGAGGAGGAGGAGGAGGAGGAGGAGGAGGAGGAGGAGGTGGGGCACCGACTCGCAACCAACCACGAGCACAACAGCTCGCAACCCAGGAACGAGCCCCAGAAATCCACCATCACCATCAGTGCTGAGAATCGTGATTGCAAGGGGACCCGCGGCGCGGGGTAATGTCGTTGCCGCCGTCAGTCGCCTGCTCGTTTGCTCTAATCGCCTGCTGGTTGTTCTGCTTGCCTGCTCGTTTGCTCGTTTGTTCGTTAGTTCTGCTCGAGTTTAAATGTTGCTGCCACCGGATCGTTTGCTCTGACGCACTGTCGGTCTGAAGGTTGGTTTGCCTGTTTGCGTTTCGCCTGCAACAGGGACCCTCTGGAGGCATCCCAGAGGGAGGCGCCATGCGAGGGGGGCCCGGGGCCTCTGGGGGCTGATGGGACAACCAGCGAAGGCCCAGAAGAGGAGGTGCGGGCGGCTCCTTTTCAAAACTGGGCTCTCGCTCGAGCTCCACTTCGGGTCCTCTCGAAGCATCCCAGAGGGAGGCGCCGTGCGAGGCGGGGACCCAGGCTCCTGGGGGCTGATAGGGGGCGACCAGAAAAGGCCCAGAGGGGGAGGTTGAGGGCGGCACCTCTTTCAAAAACGGGATTCTCGCTTGAGCACCGCTCCAGGTCCTCTCGAGGCATCCCAGAGGGAGGCGCCGTGCGAGGCGGGGCCCGAAGCCTCTGGGGGCTGATGGGGGCAACCAGAGAAGGCCCAGAGGAGGCGCGGGCGGCTCCTTTTTTTCCAGGCGGCGAAAACGATGGGGATAGCGCGCATGCGCATCTTCTCCGCCCGCGACAGTGGCCCACCGGGAACGCGCGCAGCCGAAGGAGTGCCGCCGCGGCCACCTAGCCACAATAAGCTCTTCAGACGGCTCTCAGATGACTCAGACAACTCCCACAGAGCTTTCAGAGGGTTCCGAGTGGTGTCTCGAGGATCTATCCGGAGGCCTACCAGAGGCCTTTCAGAGGCCTCTCGGAGGCATCTCTGAGAGCTCTCAGAGGCTTCTCAGAGGGAGATCATCCTGAGGGCCTTCAGAGGCCTCCACGAGCGCTCTAGGAGGCCTCTCGGAGGGTTAGCAGAAGCCTCTCACAAGCATCGATGCGGGCTGCCAGAAGCTGCCGATAGGAGGTTGCCAAGAACCTGTTTAGAGGCAACCAGGAACCCTTCAGAGACCGCCAAGAACCTTCTCAGAGGCTGCCAAAGACCCTCTCAGGGGTCGCCAGGAGGTCTCTCAGGGGCCGCCAGGCACCAAGAAGCCTCTCAGGGGACGCCAAGCTAGCCTTAGGGGGCCGCCAAACAAACCTTTCAGGGGCTGTCAAGAATTGTCACAGGGGCCGCCAAGAACCCTCTCAGGGACCGCCAAGAACCCTCTCAGGGGCTGCCAAAAACCCTCTCAAGGGCCGCCGCGAACCCTCGCAGGGGCCGCCAAGAACTTTCTCAGGGGCCGCCAAGAACCCTACCAGGGGCCGCCAAGAAACCTCTCGGGAACCGCCACAAAGCATCTCAGGGGCCGCCAAGAATCCTCTCAAGGGCCGCCAAGAACCCTCTCAGGGCCGCCACTGACCTTCTGGGGGGCCGCCAAGAACCTTTTGGGGGCCGCCAAGAACCTTCTTGGGGGCCGCCAAGAACCTTCTTGGGGGCCGCCAAGAACTTTCTCAGGGGCCGCCGCGAATCTTCTTGGGGGCCGCCGAGAACCCTCTCAGGGGCCGCCAAGAACCCTCTCAAGGCCCGCCAAGAAGCTTCTTGGCGGCCGCCGAGATCCCTCTCAGAAGTTCCATCCTCTGAGAAAACACTTCGAACTTCCGCCGGGGAACGAATCGTTCAACCGAGGGAACGAGTCGCTCAACCGGGGAACGAGTTTTTCTCACGGGTGGGAGGGGGGAGAATGACGAGAGAGAGAGGGATAGAGGGTACGCCCTGAGGCCCAGCACCCGAAAGGACGCAAGGGGGCCAACTGTGCAGGACAGCAGTGCGCAAGCATGCCGAGTCGGACAGCACTGCTGGGGCCGGAATGGCGGAGAGCAGCATTGGAGAGGCCTGACGGCCGGTGCCGCCGACCCTGATCGAAAGGGCTAGGAGTGGGGGGAGGAAGCGGAGGAGGAGGAGGAGGAGGAGGAGGAGGAGGAGGAGGAGGAGGAGGAGGAGGAGGAGGCGGAGGAGGAGGAGGAGGAGGAGGAGGAGGAGGAGGAGGAGGATGAGGAGGAGGAGGAGGAGGAGGAGGGAGGAGGAGGAGGAGGAGGACAGCACTGCTCGGGCCGGAACGGCGGAGAGCAGTGCTTCCGCAGAGGCGAGCGGCGAGACGTCGGCGCCAGCACAACCACGGCAGAGCAGCGGGCCCCCTTTGCCCCGAGCCCGCTGCTGCCAGAACAGCGCTGGGGCCAGACGCGGGCCTCTCATCGGTGGTCGCCTCGCCGACGCCCCGGGCTTGTGTGCCCCCATGGCCTGCCCCAGGAGGAGGAGGGCACTGAGGTTTTCCTAGCCGCCTCCGCCTCTCCCGCTGCCCTCCCGGGCCCCCCGGGCAGTAAAGAACGATCCCCTTCGGCGGACTGCAAGAGCACTTCGTGGAGGCCTCGAGACAGACTGGCGCCTGTGCCACAGAGGGCTTCGGCCGTCCTAAAAAACGGCGCGAAGGTCGGGACAACATCGGCTCGTCACAACTCGAAAAATCTCTGAGAATCGGCGGGTGTGGAGGATGTATTGGGCGCCGCGGCCGCTCCAGAGCGTTCCGGAACGCTCTGAGAGCGCTCCGGAACGCTCTGGAGCGATTTATCCCGATCCTGGCCCTGTTTTATGTCTCTGGAAAGCAGGCGGGCAGCAGCCCGATCGTCACCCTTGCTGGACGCAGGTTGGGGACAGGCTCTCTTGCCGCTCGGCCTAGCTGGCCGAGTGTAGGATCCGGCCCCCGGATCCACCCTGGAAGGGCTCCTTTAAGGAGTTACCTCACGGGGGCTTCCTAACGTTCGGAGGGGGGGGGAACAGAAATCCCGATGTTGTTGTGGGTACTCCAGATTTCTCAATAAAAGGGAGGGGGTCTGGACCCTCCAAGACAAGCCATTCCAGACCTCCCCCGTGGGAGAACCCTCCAAAACATCGTCCCCAGACCCCCAGGCCCTCCAAGAGCACTTCGTGGAGGCCTCGAGACAGGCTGGCGCCTGTGCCACAGAGGGCTTCGGCCGTCTTAAAAAACGACGCGAAGATCGGGACAAGCTCGGATCGGGATATAACTCGAAAAATCTCTGAGAATCGGCGGGTGTGGAGGATGTACTGGGCGCCGCGGCCGCTCCAGAGCGTTGCGGAACGCTCTGAGAGCGCTCCGGAACGCTCTGGAGCGATTTATCCCGATCCTGGCCCTGTTTTATGTCTCTGGAAAGCAGGCGGGCAGCAGCCCGATCGTCACCCTTGCTGGACGCAGGTTGGGGACAGGCTCTCTTGCCGCTCGGCCTAGCTGGCCGAGTGTAGGATCCGGCCCCCGGATCCACCCTGGAAGGGCTCCTTTAAGGAGTTACCTCACGGGGGCTTCCTAACGTTCGGAGGGGGGGGGAACAGAAATCCCGATGTTGTTGTGGGCACTCCAGATTTCGTAATAAAAGGGAGGGGGTCTGGACCCTCCAAGACAAGCCATTTCAGACCTCCCCCGTGGGAGAACCCTCCAAGACATCGTCCCCAGACCCCCAGGCCCTCCAAGATAGCCTGAAAGAGACCCCCCCCCCCGAAATGAGACCCCCTTCCCTTTATTACGAAACCTGGAGTAGTCCATCGCTTCGTTGGGCCGGCGGGCCACTCGCCAACTGGGTAATTATGGCGCCGGCGCCCGTGTCCTCTGGCTGGCTGCCGGGGCGCCCCATGCAGCCGTGGCGGCTCCGCGCTGCACTCGCTGTTTTTTTTTTTTTCGGGCTCCGGCCGGAGGTGTGTGGTACGGGCCAGGTGCACGTGGATTCCTGCGGGCCCTCCGGGCGCCCTCTTCGGAGGTGGGCCGCGCGCTTAGAGCGCGGCCAGCTCGGGCGTCTTGTGCGGGACCCCAGCAGATTCGGTAGAGGATGGGCAGACGAGGGCGAGGGAGTCGACCACTGCATGTGCGAAGACAGCAGCGGTCGAGATCGCCAAGATTTTATACGCGTCGAACGAGCACTCGGAACGAGGCGATCGCGCGCTTTAGGGGCACCAGAGGATCACCAATGCCACAACAGAGCATTGATTTGTCGACCCCTGGAAACATGGCCACGAAAAAACAATGTATCGTCGACGGACATTCCAGTCCTCGACTTCCTTCTTGAACTCCCATGTTTGGTTCGCCTTGTGGGGCGAATTTCAATCACTGCGCCGTGCCTTCTGTTTGAGCGGGTACCTGATGGCCGCTGTGTGTCGAGAGCGCCAACGAGGTCACCGCGCGTCGACCAACAACGTCCTGAGCAAGGCTCGAGGTTTGACCCAATGTGCGCATTGACCAGACTGAAATTGTCTGGTCGGTTCGGCCTAGGATACTCTTCCCAGTGGAAGCTGTGCTGGGCGAGTCAGGGTAGCGAACCAATCGAATGAGAGCATCTGCGCATGTAGTTTTCAGTATTTCGGTGTTGCCTCATACGAGGAGGACACCTTCGCGACGCGACGCCTCGCTGGTCAGACTATTGGTGTGTGATGCGGACGGGGCCCCTAACAAATGGGCCTGCCGCAGACGCGGGGGGCGCCCGAGGCAACAGTGGGCGACTGGGTAACTCTATCCCTCTTGTTCCCTCTCCCCCCCTTTCCCCTTCCCGTCTCGCTCTTCTTCCCCGTGCTGACTTACGAATGCGCGTCCGAGTTCAATTCTTCAAACTCAAATTCTGCCCACGCGTCCGTCAGTAATGCAGCAAGGCTGCAGACAGACAAACTTCGGCGGGGGAAGGTTCACCCAGGGGCACCCTGGAAGCCTCCTGACTCGCACAATGGAAGCCTCCCGATTGGCCTGCTGGGAGCCTTTGGTGGCTTGTTCGGAGTCTTAGAGCTGTCATTGTGGGGCCATGGCTGTCTGGCGGGATTCTTTAAGCTGTCTCCATCACGTGCCCCCCCCCTTCGCAGTTCCCAGTCGTTGTAAGGCGTTTGGGGTGGGGCAGTCGTTTTAAGCGCCGATGGCCCGGGGAATCATTGTCGTTCTCTGTGAGCTTTGTTGGTGGCCACTGTGCCGATCGATGTTGGTGTCGAGGCGGCGGCGAATGTTCCATGAACGGACACGGTCTCACGGTGTGATGGATTTTGTTCGGAGTGGTGCCCCGTTGCTGGACGCATTCGGAGTGGCGAGCCCCATCGCCAGTCGTCCAGTGGGCCAATCCAGACTGCAATCGGGTGGGCATCGAAGGATTGCAATCCTTCGTTAAAGGGTTTTTTTGCAATCCTTCGTTCAAGGGTTTTTTTACAATCCTTCGTTCGAAGGTTTTTTTTTTTGCAATCCTTCGAAGGTTTTTTTTGCAATCCTTCGAGAAGTCCTCAGGAGGGGCTCCGTGGTCGCGCTCATGGCCGAGGCGGCGAGCAGGTCCTCGAGGCAGCTGGAGACGGCCCCCGCCCTCGGCGTCACGGGCTTCAAAGCCGGCGCGGTGCTCGCCGCTCGGGGGGGGGGAGGAGCAGCAGGGGGGCTCGGCACCACGGCGGCCTCCCAGGGAGTGCTGAACCCGTGGGGGCGGCGGCTCCTCCTCCTCCTCCTCCTCCTCCTCCTCCTCCTCCTCCTCCTCCTCCTCCTCCTCCTCCTCCTCCTCCTCCTCCTCCTCCTCCTCCTCCTCCCCCCATTCCCCGCCTGAGTCCTGGCCCCTCCCCTCCTGGTCTCCCTTCCCCATCTCGACGCGAGGCGCTCCAGGAAGCGCCTTGCACTCCAGGACCGGAGGCGTTGGCATCTCTTCCTCGGCGGAAGCGGACGGAAGGGCGGCGGAAGCCGGCGTATGTAGAAAGTGCGCCCCCGAGGGATGGGCACCTTTTGGTCCTCAGGGGTTCCGGAGCCCCGCCATGTGTCGCTGGACTTCTGATGTAGCCTTGACTGCCAGGAAAAGTTTCGAGCGCCAAGGAATTACCGGAACTGGAGGGTTTTCACGTGTGGGGGTTTGGGAGGCGATGCTCGTTCGACACTGTTTCGATATTCCAGATTTCGTAATAAAGGGAGGGGGGTCTCATTGTCTCATTTCGGGGGGGTCTTTTCCAAGCTATCTTGGAGGGCCTGGGGGGGTCTGGGGACGATGTTTTGGAGGGTTCTCCCACGGGGGGGGGTCTGAAATGGCTTGTCTTGGAGGGTCCAGACCCCCTCCCTTTTATTACGAAATCTGCAGTACTGGTTTGAGTGTTCGAAATTATACGATGGGAGCAACATAGCGCTGGACGCGTCTTGTGAGTTCGGCGGGGCGGCCAGGTGAGGGCCGCCTTCTCATAGCGGTCGTAGTAGCAGGGTTGTGGTGCGGATGACGAGCAGGATAGAGGATATTTGTCATGGCGCCAACATCGCAGAACGGATTTCGTTTGGAAAACGACAGGATGGGCCTGGAAAGTCCCGGTCAAGTTCGCTCCGGATTTCGAAGTGAATTCCGCGCGGAGTTTTCTCTTTGGACCAGGAACGAAGACCAGAACGAATCCGCGCGAAAGTCGCTTCGTTTTTCGCTCGCCGCTTCCTCCTCCTGCTCCTCCTCCTCGTCCTCCTCCCCCTCCTCCTCCTCGCAGAGATACGCGCAGAAATCCGCGCAGAAATCCGCGCAGAGATCCGCGCAGAGATCCGCGCAGAGATCCGCGCAGAGATCCGCGGCAGCACGTCTGCAGGGCCGGCGCAGGGCGGCCTCTCCCGGCGCCCGTGCCCCGTGCCCGCGCGCGCTCCCCCCCTCGGCCGCCACGGGGGCCGAGGTCGGACCGAGAGGGCGCGGGCATCCCAGACTGTGACGGACGAACAACACACACCCTTTCGGAGCCCCGGATCATCAGGGGTAATTAACTCGGGTCAGGGTCAACTCGGGTTCGTTTTTCGGGAATCCGAGCCCGAGTTATCCCAGACCCGAGTTACCCCGGATATTTCGGGCGTCCAGAGCCCCGGATCATCAGGGGTAACTCGGGTCAGGGTCAACTCGGGTTCGTTTGTCGGGAACCCAAGCCCGAGTTACCCCGGACCCGAGTTACCCCGGATATTTCGGGCGTCCAACCCTTGGACGTCCGTTTCCCGTTGGGCGCCGCCCGTTGGGTCCCAGGACGTCGTTTCCACGTGCGGTGGATGTGGACATATCCCCGCCTCGCAGCGAGGGTGCTCTAGGCCCTTCAGTCAGGCACGTCCCTCTAGAGGAGGAATGATTATGTGTCAACGCACGCCCAGACCCATGGGGAGGTCGTTGGGAGGAGGACTGGCTATGGGTGTGGGTGCGGGCTGTCGGACCCTGGGGAAAGCTCCCGTTCGAGCGGGGACCCCCATCCGACCACACGCACCCACAGCCCTCTCCGATCCCCCTATGGGTATGTGTGTGTGTGTGTGTGTGTTATTGGTTCGTCAAGATGGGTTCAGAGCGCACAGGGTCGGAGGATCGCGTCGCATCGCCGATGCATCAGCGATGCGGCTCGATGTTGTTCTAAAAGTGTCTCCACTCCGACGTCGTCGATGTATTGTTGATGTAATTGATGTATTGTTGATGTATCGGTGATGCATCGGCGATGCGGCGTAATCCTCCGACCCCATCTGCTCAGACCACATGTGTGAGGCTTCTGGAGGGGGGCTAGCAGAGAAGAGAGACGAATCATGAGAAGCCATAGCAGTGCCCCAGCAGTTGCGGATAAGAGTGAGAAGCGGGGGGTAGGGTCATCGGCAGTCTGCAGGGCTCGAACACCGATTTCGTGGAGTCCGCCGCAGGCGCCTATTTGTTACCATCGCACAACCAGCCCGCCGCAGGCGCAGATTTTCAGTGAATGCGATGTGGGGGCGTCGCGGGCGGGTCGCGTGTGGGTCGCCGGGGTGGGTCGCGGATGGGTCGCGGGCGGGTCGCGGGTGGGCCGCGGGGTGGAAGACGACAACAAAACAGAAGCAACAATCATTTTAGGACTGGTAGTTCTGCTCGCGTGTCACTCACCATGTACACCCCAAACCATCGGTACCCGTCCTCTTCGTCTTCGATCGTCTTCGATCATACCCCCCTTGGGGCATATCTTCCTTACCTGCCATGCGCAGTTGGCGCAGCCCCCGAAACAGGGAAGGGAGGAGACAAGGTACAATGGAGGATAGAGAAGGATGGAGCACGACAGAGATTGGCAGGAGGGAAGCTAGGAGCAGAAAACGCGTGGCAGAACCAGATCAGGCAGATCAGGCGGGTAGAACTCGTGGCTTCTTCTGTTCGTCCCGCCACCCCTCCTCTCCCAGCAGGTGCCCCTGGCGATCGACGCCGCGCTTCAGTCCGGCGCGGCACCATCCGCGCCGCTCTCAGTGGCCGTTCTTATGCTGGTGTGCAGTATTCCTGCTCGACCAAAAAGGATGATCTCGTCCCCATCTCGGACCTGCTTGGAGGACGCGTTTCTTCGCTCAAGGAGGCGTCATAGGGATGGTGCGTCATTATCTGAATCGTGAACGTCTCGGCGTTCTCATGTTCAGCGCCCTGCTGTGCCGATGTCCTGTCGCTTGTCGATGCCCACGTTGGCAGTGTAGTGCGTTTGCAGACCCTCGCGCTCACGCATCCTTTAATTTGTGCAATGTCGAACCAACAACAGCTGTCTACTTGTGTATCCTCACGTTCACACAGTTATCCCCTTGTTTCCCCTGGCACTCACACTGCCGCTCCCATGCATCTCATTACGCATGCACAGCGGCCTCTTGCATATCCTCGTACAGGCAGCCATCCATATCCATGTACCCGCACTCGCACATTTGACCTCGCAGTACTTGCAAAATTGCATGCGCTTTTACGTACTCCCGGGCACACCGTCCGCAGGCGGCGAGTGCGTTAGGGGCCCAGTTCCTTGTCGCAGGGACACGTTCTGCGTGCTGGACTTCTCCAGACGCGCCGCCCGCATGCCGTGTCCGCGCCGTGCCCGTGTGCCGTGCTGCCGCGCCGTGCCGTGCCATGCCATGCCGTGCCCGTGCTTTGCGCCGCGCTGCCCGCGCCGCGCCCGCGTGCCATCTCCGCGCCGCGCCCGCGTGCCCGCGCGCCGCCCTGCCTGTGGTCGGGGGCGCAGCAGCCGCGCCGCCCGCGCGCCGCGACCGCGCCGTGCCCTGTCCGCGCCGTGCCCGCGCGCCCGCGCGCCGTGCCGCGCCCCAGGCCTGTGGTCTGGGGCGCGGCAGCCGCGCCGCCCGCGCGCCGTGCCTGCGCGTCGCGCCGTCCTGGCCGTGCCGCGGGCGCGCTGCCGTGCCCGGGGTTTTGCCCCGCCTGCGCGCCGGAGCGCGCCGGGCGTGCAACCGTCGCGTGCCCGCGCGTGCCGTGCGCGTGCCGTCGTGCCGGCGTGCAGTCGTGGCGTGGGCCGTGCCGTGCGCGTGCCGTGCGCCGTGTCTACGGGGCGTGAAAACGACCACAGCCACTGCTTTTCTTTTGTTGCCGCCTTCCAGCCTGCAGAAACGAAGCAGTGGTTGTGGTCATTTTCGTTGAGCTTGGCACCAGGGAAATGACCACAACCACTGCTTCTTTTTCGGCCAGCTGGAAGGCGGCGCAGACAAGAAGCAGTGGCTGTTGTCATTTTCCCGTCCCGCAGTCTCAGAATTGTGGAAAAGCGCCACCCACCAAACCACCCCAAGCCAGCCCGAGGGCCTCAGTTTGCCCTCCATCTCCTGGGCCGTCCTGGGCCAGCCTGAAGCCAGCCGGCGGGGCGGGCCGAAGTCTCAGGGGGGAGTTCTTGTGGAAAAGGACCCAAACCAAAACCGAAAGGGCCTAGCACGCCAGGCACCCCTGCGATGAATGGACAGGGGGCGGCGGATCGAAGACGCCTAATTACGGCGAATCACCGCCGCACCCTGCCTTTTTGGAAGCGCCTCTGTGGCCGACAGCTGGGCCAGAGCTTGGCCAAGCTATCGGGCCAGTTGTTCCCCGAGTCGGTTTGGAAAGACTTCGGGGAACGCATAGGGGAGCAAGAAGGGGAGGATGAGGAAGAAACAGGAGGAGGAGGAGGAGGAGGAGGAGGAGGAGGAGGAGGAGGAGGAGGCCTCTTGGGCGCATCTTGGGGCACTCTTGGGGCCTCCTGGGAGCTTCCTGGGGGCCTCTTGGAGGGGGCCGTCTTGGAAGCCTCTTGGGAGCCTCTTGGGCCGTTTTGGGCCATCTTGAGGCCATCTTAGGCCGTCTTGGGTGCATCTTGGGCCGTCTTCGAGGCATCTTGGGGCCATCTTAGCCGTCTTGGAGGCCATCATGGCCGTCTTGGAGGCCATCTTGGGCCATCTTGGAGCCGTCTGGAACGGAAAAACCGTTTGCAACCACCTCTGGAAGATCTTTCGGCATCCTCCCGGGACCCCGGCGGGACGCGCCGGAGCCCATTGGGAGAGTTCTTTTGGAAAAGAACCAAAACCCAAATCGTAAGAAGTTCAGCACGCCAGGCATCCCTGTGATGAATTAACGCGGGGCGGCGGATCGAAGACGCCTACGGCGAATCACCGCCGCCCCCTGCCTTTTTGGAAACGCCGATGTGGCCGAAAGTTGGACTAGAGCTTGGCCAAGCTATCGGACCATGAGTTCCCCGAGTCGGTTTGGAAAGCTTTCGGGGAACACATGGGTGAGAATGATTATGAACAGGAAGAGGAAGAGGAAGAAATAGAGTAGGAGGATGAGGGTTGTTAGGAGTCTCTTGGGGCACCCTTGGGGTCTGTTGGGGGCTTCTTGGGGGCCTCTTCGAGGCCTCTTGGAGGCATCTTGGGGGCCTCCTTGGGCCTCTTGGGGGCCTTTGGGGGCTTCCTGGGTGTCTCTTTGGCCGTCTTAGGGCGTTCCTGGTCCGTCTGACGCCGTCTGGAGCCGTCTTGGGGGCCTCTCTGGGCCGTCTTGGGGCCCTCTTGGGGCGCTTCAGGGCCGTCTTGGAGGCCATGTTGGGCGTCTTGGAGGCCTCTTGGGCCGTCTTGGGGCGCTCTTGGGGCCGTCTTGGGGGGCCCTTGGGCCGTCATAGGGCTTTCTTGGAGGCCTCTTGGGCGATCTTGGGGGCCTCTTGGCGCCGTCGGAAGGCCGAAAAAGAAGGAAAACGCAAAAAAACTTCAAAAACCTAAGGATAAACCAATTGAGTTTTGCCTTTCGGGCTCTCCTGGGAGAACGTCTCTCTTGGGCTCTTGGGCATATGGGAGGCCGGAGGCATATGGGAGGCATCTTGGGGCCTTCTTGGCCGTCTTGGAGGGCATCTTGGGCCGTCTTGGAGGCATCTTGGAGCCATCTTACCCGTCTTGGAGGCCATCTTGGCCGTCTGGGAGGCATCTTGGAGGCCATCTTGGGCCATCTTGGCCGTCTTGGAGGCCCTCTTGGGCCAAGTTGGGGCAACAAAGGCATTGACAGACGGATTTTGGGAAAATTACGGGTGGCCGGCGGGACGGGCCGAAGCCCACTGGGGAGTTCTTTTAGAAAAAGATCCAAAACCAAAACCTGAAACATCCAGCACGCCGTGCACCCCTGCAAGCAGGGGGCGGCGGATCTAGTGGACTTCGGCCCATACCGCCACCGTGCCATGTTTGTAGATCAAAAGCCTCTTGGATGCCTGTGGGGACCTCTTGGGAGGCTCTCGGAAGCCTCTTGGGGTAGTTTTGGGGTGTCTTCGGGGCTTCTCTGGGGCCTCTGGGATCTCTCGGAGCTTGATTTGGGCTTCTTGGGGGCTTTCTGGAGCCTGGAGCTTGTAGGGGGATCTTGAAGGCCTGCTGGCGATTTTTGGGGTCATCTGGAGGCGGAAGGCACGAAATGTCCGTTCGCGTTCTCCCTCTGGGGCACCTCTTGGGACCGTCTTGGCATGTCTTGGTGGCTTCTCGGGCCGTATTGGGCCCTCTAGGGCCGTCTGGGCCTCTTGGGCAGTGTTGGGGCGATCTTGGGGGCCTCTTGGCTTGGACCGTCTTGGTCGGTCGGAAACCCGACAGGGCGACAATGCCAACATGTGTATAGCGCCGGCGTTACATCAATGATTTTTGGGGCCCTCTTGGGGTGTCACTTGAAGCTCTTCGTAGAGCGTCTTGGGGGCCGGCTTGAGCTATCGTAGGCATCTTGCAGTGCTCTTGGGCGGACTCCGAGCCTCTTGGGGTCCTCTTGGCCCGCATGGGGCCCGGGTGTCTCCAGAACAGTCGCGCGGGAACACGCCCAGTCACGCGGGAAGCACCAGACAATGCGGCAAACTTGCATTCTGATATCGAGGACTGAGGGCTCACCCTCACTTGATGATATTCGCCGCCGGTCTTCGCAAGCCGCCGGTCTTCGCAAGCCGCCGGTCTTCGCATTGATTAAGCTACGGGCTACGTGCCACCTGCACGCCGACAGAGGCAAGGCCACGGGCTACGGCCCAGCACGCCCATCTCTTCTTCACCCTCCACCACTTGCTGTCATTCCAGCTCGTGCCTCAGGGCAGGGTTGCAGATATCTGTTCTCGCACGAGTGGGCAGGCACTGCGCAGGGAATCTCCCGTTACCAACCCTTCGGGGAACCACGGGGATTCCCTTGGCCTGGGTGCTGGTCCGTTGGCGGTGAAGTGGGTACCGGTCCGTAGCTTGGTAGGGGGGGAGGACGAGGATCGGGTGTTGCCAGAAGTGCCCCCGGCTCGCGGTGCCCCCCACGATTTCCAAGGAGGCCCTCACGGCCTCCAGGGCACCCCTCGCGAGGCCCCGTGCGGCGCAGGGGCTCCGTGGTTGAACGAAAAGCTGGGGGTACCTTGGGCGAGGGGCACCTATTGTGAAGGCCTGACGGCCTGTGCCGCCGACCCTGAAAAACATCGACGACGACCAGTAGGGGGAGGAGGAGGAGGAGAAGGAGGAGGAGCAGGAGGAGGAGGAGGAGGAGCAGGAGGAGGAGGAGGAGGAGGAGGAGGAGGAGGAGGAAGTGGAGATGATGATGATGATGATGATGATGATGATGATGATGATGATGATGATGATGATGATGATGATGAT